GGGGGGAGGGAGGGGCAGGAGAGAACTTCCAGGGTGTACCGGAGAAACTCCCAACAGAGCCTGCTGGAAGTTGGCAATGCTGGGTGAGTCAAAAATGAGAAATTCTAGCAAAGCCAGGTTTCCGTTCTGGGCCGTGGGCTGACATCAGCTTCCCCAGATGTTACTTATTTCTCATGGGGCTGGTGGAGCAGGATTCCAGGGCTGGAACTCCCTGACCGCCAGGTAGGGCAGGGAACAGGCAAGATGTGCATGTGAGCAGTTACACATGTGAACATGTGTGGGAGTGTGGGAAGCAGGGAGAGGGGACACCATGCTTTTTTTTTTTTTCCCCTTCTCATGTCCAACAAGTGTAAACAACCACCACTCTCATTGTGTATCAGAATCACCTGGAAAGCTTTTAAAAAAATGCAGATGTCTGGATTCTACTGTGACTTGTAGATTTAAATGTAGGCATCAGGATTTTTAAAAAGGTCTCCAAGCGACTCTAGTGTGCAACCAGGGCTGAGAACGGCTGTTCTAGAGCCGGGGTTGGCAAACTCTTCCTGTCAAGGGCCAGACAGGAAATCTTTCAGGCTTTGTGGGCCATATGGTCTCTCGTGTAATTACTCAATTCTGTATTGTAGCATGAAAGCAGCCACAGACAACATGTAAAGAAACTAGTGCGGCTGTGTTCCTTCAAAACTTTACTGCGAAGACAGGTGATAGGCCAGATACGGCCAAGGACCACTGAAGGCGAACCCATGTTCCAGAGAATAAAGTGTAAAACTGGTAAATCCTATTACCTTCTATAAATGTTTGCTTTCATATCCAACTACTTCCAAATGATCTATGGACTCCTCAAGGGACATAAGAAAAATTACATTCAACAGTCAAAAGCTGGCTCTTTATTTGGTAAAAGCAATCTCCTTCTCCCTCCAAGCCATCTGAGGAAGCGTACGTAGGGGCTCCAGGGCAGAATAACAGAAGGGTAAGTAGGTGCTCTGGGTTAGGCAATTATTCAAGGTATATGTATTATTATTTTATCTTCATTTGATTAATGGACAGCCTCAAGGAGTGAGTGGTGCTAAACCTTCCATGGTGTACTAATTTCTAATGACCAACTGAGATTCAGCTGAGGGATGACTGGTGTTCTGTAAATCCAGACAAAATCAGAAGGGCCAAGGCACCTTGGGTCATTCTGGAATTGTTATTTCTTGGAGTCACCAGGTCAGCTTCCCTTTGGGAAAGAGAAGCCCTGGATGGATGGAAACCTATCCCAGGGCCTGGCATCTAGAACTTCTAGTCTGGGCTCCATGAAAACTGAAGGAAAGAAGGCTAACAATGTCTACTGCGCAGAATGATAAGAGTAAATGATTATCCAGAACTTGTTGCCAGGGTGCAGTTCACTGACGCTCTCTCTGGTCTTCTAGTAGCCAAGAGGTGATGGCCAGGTGGGAGAAAACTGGGAAATTCAGAAAAAAGGAAGTGGGTCCTCTGGGAATAAAGGAAAGAAGAGCCTGTAGAATTCATCAGCTCTAATGGAAGACAGCTCTTCCTGTGTAATTATCATTGAAGTCAGAATAAAGTCCAGAGCAAGGGGCACATTCTGTGAGCTGACCAAACCAAGTCTGTGCATGAGCCAGTGAGGGCCAAATATCCAACATGCAGCTTTCCAGGGAGGGAAAGAAAGTTTTGTTTTGTTTTCTTTCTTTTTTCTTTTTGAGGGAGTCGGCAGCAGAGAGGAGTTGTCTAGCTGTGAACAGTGCTAAGTGGCCAAAACCCCATACTGACAGGTAAGTAAAGCCTGTCATGACATGGAAGGTGGACATTAGTCAGGGTCACTGTCCCTTGAGGACAGGGCAGAGCAGGCGAGGAGAGAGCGACGAGACTGCATACAGGGAAATAAAAGGCGAGGGAAAGATCAGCTGAGGTAAGGCTCCTCCAGCTGGATTTTCCTAGAGGTTACTTATTAACCTCATTAAATAAAGGGAATGGGACCAAATGGGGGCAAGCCAGGGAAACCAACGGGCATATCTGGCAGGAAGAAAGCGGAGGGAATGGTGCCCAAGATTATCATTCAAGAGGGGTAATTTTCCACTAATATCAAGCTTTTAGAATTGAATAGTGAAGAGACAATGAACTGGTACAATAAAAAATAAAAACAAAAACAGCTCTGGCCAGTGTGGCTCAGTTGGCTAGAGCGTTGTTCTGTGCACCGAAAGGTCTTGGGTTCGATTCCTGATCAGGGCACATGCTTCGGTTGCGGGTTCGATCCATGGCCCTGGTTGGGGCACATGGGGAGGCAGCTGATCGATGTTTCTCTCTCTTTCTCCCTTTCCCTCTCTCTAAAAATCAATGAACATGTCCTCAGGTGAGATGTAAAAGATAATAATAAAAAATAAGTAAATAAAAACATAGGTCAAGAAAGGGCCTGGCTTTTCTCCCCAATTAATAGAATAAAAAATAATAACAAAAATGAAATAAATAAATAAATAAATAGAAAACATAGGTCAGAAAAGAGCCTTGCTTTTCTCTCAAATTAATAGGTGACCATAGTATATAGAGGGTCTCTTCCCCTGAGACCTCCTCCCACCCTCTTAGGATGTGCGTAAAAATGGGAGGGATGACAGATGGGGTGCTTTTTAAAGGGAACACCTCTGTTCCCCAGGACAAGGGCTGACAAATAAAATACAAGATACCTGGTCAAATTTCAATTTCAGATCAACAAGGAATACTTTTTAGTGTAAGTATATCCCAAATATTACACGAGTCATACTTACACCGGGGGAAAAAATCTTTTGTTGTTTATCTACAATTCAAATGTAACTGGGTATTCTGTGTTTTTATTTTATTTGCTAAATCTGGCAACTCTACCCAAGGAAGAGTATTATCTTTTTAAAAAGTCTGTTGGCCCCGCAAGCCCAGTGTCCCATGCCATACTCCCTCTCAAAGGCCTTGAGCAGTTTGCTTTAGGTAGAATTCCTACCCAAACAGCTCCTTTTGGCACAAAGGCTGTGTTTGTAGGCTTTGGCTCTGAATAAAAAAAAATACAAAATCCCCACCAAGCATCTTTGGTTCTTTGGCTCCCTGGCTCCCTCTCCTCTGCAGCGCCTCTCAGCACTGGACATAGAAAGCCTGGGGTGCCTTCAGCTGCTCCTGTGACAGTGCCCTTCAGACCTCAGCTGGGCCTTCAAGGGCATGAACAAGTTTGGAACCCTTTGCTAGTTCATTTTTAATCTTTGCCTCTGAGCATGGCACAAGGCCAGGAAAGCACTCAGAGGAGTTTCCCTCAAATGCCCTTGCAAGCCTTGCAAAATAATGGCCCACTCTCCATTGTGTGGCATGACAGGGAGATGGGGCCAGAGAGATTGGCAGGCTGCAACTTAGGACCATTTCCAGGGGCCCTTGTGCAAATGCAAGGCATGGGTTTGGGGCTGGGAGCTTTTCTGGGGGTACGAATGAAAGGAAAGGGAAATGTAAAAGTACCCTCTCTCTGATGTGCTGTGAAAGGCATCTTCATTTCTGAGCTTGAACTAACAAGCACCAAAGCTGCACTGAAGAGGGGAGAGGAAGCCACCTCCATAGGAGACATCATGTAGAAGTTCGTGAGACCATCCATTTGGTATAATTAGTTATTTTTAACTGCTCTGCCTAGGAAAGGAAATCTGAAGTTCATGCTCTGGAAGTAGATTTGGGGAAAGGCTCCACTGGGCCTGTACAATAGGCACATGCCTCACCTCTTGGCTCCATACTGCAACAGCAGCTGTGGGTTTTAGCCCTCTGTGTTGGTGAGCTCTGATGGGCTGGCTCCCCAGTACTGTCTGATCCAGGCTCACCTTGGTATATTTAGCTCAGTGACAGCCTCTTACAAGCCCTACTCGGCGTTGCATATTTCAAAATGGCAGCTTCCTAAAGGGTTGTGAAGCAGCATCTTCAAATGGTGCTATTCTAGCAACGGCCAGAGGAGCCAGGGCTGAGTAACCATGGCCCCAAATACAGCAGGCCGGCAGATTCTACCACCACCGTCCTCTGCCGATCGGGAAATACTTTGGGAGAGGAAAGTTGCAGCTGAAGAAAAAAACCTGGAAATATCTTGGGAGGCAGAAGGGAGTATAGAGGTGTAGACTGGACAGACAGGCAACGGGGCCCCAAAGCTCGGAGACATTTCAGGTTTTTAGCTAAATGATTCCACTATCCTGAGTCCCCTAACCCATTCTGTCCAAGGAGCCAACGTCTTGAAGATTTTATTCCTTTTTGATCAAAATGAAGGAGCCATATTCTTCTAATGACCAAGTCTTTGTTATGGTGAGGGAGGCATTTTGGAAGGTGACTGTCTCTGGTCACTGTGGTTTGCTCTGGTTCAGGTCCTCACGGACATCAGTGATCTCACCAGGAGCATCCATGCTATACCTCCCAAAGCACCCAGGATACGTCTAAGATAGCATTAGGAAATAACTCGAGTGTCAGGAAAATATGATCTGATTTTAGAGCTTATTCCCAGGTGAAGATAAAAGGATATACTGTCAAGTTATCTTTCTCATATTCTGGACAAAGCTGGATAGAAAACCGAGTTGAGCAGGCCAGGCCCGGGGGCTGAAAGTTGCACAGAAACTTAAATTTGGGGGCAGCAATATGTTTGGCAGAAAGAGTGCTGGGTTGAGGGCAGGAAGTCCTGAATTCTGGATTGGCTCTCGTTTAGCCACGTGACTGTGTACAAGTCACCTCTCTGTGCCTTAGTGTTCTCTCCCTGTCACAGGGTTCAGGCCATTTCTCTTCTCATTCTCGTGTAAGGATGGAACAAAATGATAGATATAAAAGTGAGTGGAGAAGAGTAAAGTAATGTGTACATCTGTGTGTAAACAGCACAGGGGTTTCTTTTTTTAAAAAGTGAGACTCAGCTTTATCAATTATTTAAGCCTCTCTGTTGGACCCACCCCTTAGGGAAAGCCAGCTAGGAGAAATGAGTGGCAAGGAAATGCTGCCAAGGCCCAAAATGCTCGTGATGCGTATAACTGGGCTCTACATTTTGACTGTCTGAGAACAGAGACTAAGTTAGAGAGACACACACGCTGAGGACCTGGACAGCAGAGGGGCCCTGCAGGGGCTTAGTTCATTAATTAATTTCCTGGATTTAAACAGCTTTTTTTGTCTCCAAAACAATCAAGTGCAAAGAATTAAATCTGGACGTGACCAAAGCAGGGAAACTATAGCATGGCCCTTGGGGAGAGGAACTAGGTCGACCCTCAGAAAGAGGTGCTGCCTGTCCCCACGAGAGCTCACGGTTCATGACACATGGAGACAGAAGCAGGCTGGGAGCACTGACAACTCCTGGGAGCACCTGGCGGGAAGGAGGTGGCCATGAGCAATTTAAAGAGAAATCAGTTCATGCTTCGATTCCTTATTCTGTGTCATCTCTCTCCCAGTGGTCTGGTCTCAGCAACTAGGTGTCAGGGCACAGGGTCGATAGCCTAACCCCGCAAGTACACACTGCCTGATGCTACATGATAAAAATGAGGGGAGAAAAGGCCAGGGTGTGTCTTGGCACCGTTTCCTCGGATACCACCTAATACCAAAGCACAGAGAGCTCCATGATTCAGACAGCGAGCCAAACGGAAGCCCGCTCGGGAGGCACTCTTTCCCCAAACTTCAAGTATCACAGATCATTAATTCAAACTGAAGGAAGGGTCCAGAAGGGCGTGGAGAATGCAGGCTGGTGCATGCAAATCAAGGGAGTGCAGAGGCTGGCCACCTGCTGTCCCTGACTGGCTTTGGATAAAGGGGGCGGATTGGCCATAGTCCGCGATTTTACCTGGCGTCTTCATGAACTGCTTCTTCTGGCCTGTCAAAAAGCAAGTGCAGGTTTGGATGGCAGGGAACAAAGTTGACGAGGCTGAACACTGCATGAAGAGAGGACCAAGCCAATGAGAGGACAACAGCAGCAACAGAAAACCAAACAAATCCTGCAACAGACCTGATGGGGGAGGAGTCGCTGGACGTGGATGAGGTGGGCATAGGGCTGGATGGCGCCGAGAACATGGGCCAGGATGGCGAGAGGGGTGAAGTTGGGCTTGGATTCGGGGGGCTGCAAGACATAACCACCAGAAAACTCGTCAGCACACAGGGGAGCCACAGTGGGAGCACAGGGGGTTCATGGAAGGCCACATGACGGGGCGCTAGAGCTGCCTGGAGGAGCACTGACTCTGGGAGGTGTGGTCAGTGCCAGACAGTTCTCCAGACCAAACCTCCGTGTCTTCCAGCCAATGCCTGCTGGGTAGTTCCTCGGAGCATTAACATGTCTCCTTGCCCTGCAGAATAATTGCTTTCTCGGTGGCAAGAGCCTCATCAGTTGTGTCCACTGTGCCTCTGCCATCGGTGGTAAGTGCCCTGAATCCACATACGTGACTTTCCACACCCGCATCCTATTGCAGGCCTCTGTCTGTGGCAGGGCTAGCTTAGAACCAGCCTTTAAAGTTGTGTCTCAGCAAAAATGACCATTTTTCCCGGCCACACAGGCTATTCAGCCAGAAAACAATTTCCTGTTTACATTTTTAACTAAACGGGCCGTCTGCCACTGGAGACCCGGAGAAGGTCTGCGTTAGAAAAATGGCAGCGGATGGAGGATGGGTCTGACACATACCCCTTGAGAAAGGGCCTGCAGTTATGGGCAGCATGCTGTTCCTGAGGTTTGCTCTCCAGGTCTGCTCTTTCTTTTTTCATAGATTCTGGGCATTTTGATGCTCAAAGAAAAACCCCAGAGGGGAGGCAGTTAAAAAAAAAAAAAAAAAAAA